AGAGAGAGAGAGAGAGAGAGAGAGAGAGAGAGAGAGAGAGAGAGAGAAAGGGTAAGAGACAGGGTACTCCGGTGGAGCCTGCCAGGCTTCTCACTCCTGTTTGCCTGTCCTTGATCCATTTCCTCTGGCTTCTTCGTCACTTGGAACCACATCCAAAGAGGACTGCCAGGTGTCTCCCTGGGTGAGGTGAGGGCGGTCCCACAGTTCTTGGCAACCCCACACCAGAGTCAAGGTATGCTGTGAAGGGGAAATTCAAACCCAATCCCAAACCATGCCCTCAAGCAAAGGAGGGCAAATGCCATGTCAGGAGGCATGGCCCGGACCTCCCCTTAGCCTGCACCTGCCGATCGACTCAGGAGCAGGGTAGTGGCAGCTTCCGGGCGCCTATCCACATGGGACTGATTTTTCTTGTCCCTCAGTTTTACCTGGCTTTGAAATTATCATGTGGCACAAACACCCACCAGAGAAGATCTCTGTTGGGTGAGGAGGAGGCTAATGAACTCAACTAAGTCTCTATACTCTGGGGGCGTTGCCCTCTAGTAGGCCAGCTTCCTTCTAGGCAAGGGATGTTGACTTCACCGTGTGGGTGGCCTCCAGGGAAACAAACCTGTGGGCAGAGGGTTACCAAGGCTAGATGGCTCCTCACCACTCTCCCTCACTCCCACAGAAAGGAGCCCTGGCCCACAGAAAGCCACTTCTTGGAGACAAAGAACACCACCTTCTCCTGGGAGTTTTCTGAGTACCAAATTTAGGTTTTAGGGACTGTTGGGGGTAAGGGAGGCACATTGTACCAGACCAACATTTGGCCTGGCACAGAGTGCCCACATGGTTTTGGCACAAGCTGTAACCTCTGACCACTGAGGCAGAGCCTGGCTCACACTGATGCTTCCTGAAGAGCCAGGTGTGGGGTGTCAGAGCAGGTGCAAAGGGAACCCCTGACTTTCTTGGGACACTCTCAGTCTGGGCTTCTGGGAGACACTGAATCCACTCCCAGGGGACTAGGCAGGCTGGGCCTACCGCTTCCCGAAGCAGGCATGCAACCAGGAGCTGCAGGCTAGGCTGTGAGGCTGTGGGTGGGCACGGGAGGGTGGCGCAGGCTCTGGAGGTGGAAGACCATGGCAGGTACAGTTGTGGACAGATGTGTGGGAAGCACCTTTGGAAGGGGACATTTGTCTCATGGCTGTGTGATGGCTTTTGTTAGAATGTCCACAGAGAAGTAGGAGGGCTTCCTGGATGAGAGGAAGCTTCCAGAATGGGAGCAATCCCTGAATCACCTTTCTTCTGGCTAAAGAGGGGTGTCTTTCTGCCCCAGGAAGACAGACAGACCCTCGACTTTCACCGGAGTACGTGCTTTTAGTAGCAACTGGGTGACAGTCGATGTGCCCGAGACAAGAAGGAGGGTATGGAGAGCCCCGGGTGGTGCTGACGCTCAGGGGCCACATGCAAGGAGCCTGGCTCAAGCCTGGTGTCTGTGCTGCACCCCGGAAGTTGACCAGGGCTACCCTGGGAAGGGGATGCTTTCTCTTTCAGGAGGCCCGAGGCCTGTAAAGCATGAAGTCATGGACAGGCCCAGGGTCACCCCATGTCCACCAGTGCCACCAAGGTGCCCTTCCAGCCACTGGGTGCAGAGCCTGCAGATTCACACCACCGCAGTGTTCGCGTCCACCCCTTTGCTACTCTGGGACGAGCTCATGGGATATTCCGCGACACTGGTGCCGTTTTCATCTTTTCTCAGTGGTTTCCTAGAGATGGAGGGAGGGGAACAAGGACATTGTTAGGGGCAGCAACTGTGATGGTGCGACCTCTGAGTCGGAGTCCAGGTTAGCAGCCTGTGGGGTCAATCAGAAGCCAAGTAGAGTCTTAGCTAGGATGACCATATAATTTAGCATGCACACCAGGGTCTATTGATAAGGAAAGAGGGGACAGGGACAAGTCTGAATTGGGACCAAAATGTGTGGTCAGCCTAGTATAACCAAGCTCTGATTGATCCCTTTGGGAGCAGCTGGTTCACAAGGAGCGGCATTAGTAGTTGGATTTTGCACCCTGCCTCTGTGTGTTCAAAATAATGGTAGATGTGATGAACCAATGGTCAGGGTGGTGGGTGGCATTAGTCATGCTGACTGGTGACGGGAGTGACGGTACAGGTGATTCTGCTGGTGACGATAACGGTGGTAGAGGAGGTGTTAGCAAAGTTAGTGATGGCAGAAGGGATGGTGGTGGTGGTTGCAGATGGTAGAGGAGATGTTGCTGATGGCTGTTGTGACAACAATGGTGAAGGAGGTGGTGGGATTTTGGAGGTTATGGTAGCAGTGATACTGTGAAGAAGGTGGTGATGGTAGAGGTGGTGGTGGGGATAGTTCCAGTGGTGATGATGGAGATGCTGGCGGTGATGGTGATGATAGTGATGATG